GTCTGTGGGAGTTGGGGTGCGTGGAAATAAATTATTAAAGGAAGTAAGTGTCTTTTCTCTTAATGGAGAAAGAAGAATTTTAACGTCTTAGCAGGAGGAGTGACAGAACAGTTTTAAACTGTCAAGACTGCTGATACTCAAGTTGTAATCTTAAATAAATACAACAATCTGAGTTCCTGTTTTTGCTGTTAGATATAATCAATAACAATTTCAGTAAATATGATCCTTTGCTGCAAGTCACCCTTCCTTTATTGAGGAATTGCTGAGTTTCTTGTCTGGGTCTCGTCTCACTCCTCCTGCAGGATTGCTGGCCTGAAAGGAAGGGAAAAACAAACTTCAATAAATCTCTTGTAGAGATGTATTTGTTTTCAGGTGGCTGTGCTGGTTCACAGGAGAAAGGAAAAAAAAAAATAAAAAAAAAAAAATTTCGTCCTCCATCCAGGGATTAAATGCTTCTTCCAGAGCTGCCCGTTAGTGATCATTGCCTGCTTTTCTGTGGTGTGGTGGGCTGTCCTTGGCCAGCTACTGGGCACCCACCCAGCCCCTCTCTCATTCCTTAACAGGGAGGGGAGAAAATAAGATGAAAAAGCTCACAGACTGAGGCAAAGACAAGGAAATCCCTTACCGGTTACTGTCATCAGCCATCCAGACTCAACTGGGGAAGATGAAATTTATTGCCCATTAAAATAGATTTGAGAGAAAGACAGACAAAAGTTAGAACATCTGCCCACATCCGTGTGTCTGGGTGTCAGATGGGAAGGCACTGAATGAAGACGGTGTCCCCTCTCCTTCCCACCCCAGCGGCAGGCATGGAGGGACCTGACCTCAGGAGCCGCGGCTATGGAGGACACTGTCTGTCTGGACGCTGGCAGGTTTGGGTGTTGGTGTCCGGCATTTTCAGGTGTTTTGCTGGCTCAGATGGTGCCTTTCAAACACTCATCCCAGTGCCTGTCCCTGAGGGAAAGTTGTTTCATGTCCCTAATTGCAGACTGGCTACATGGGTGACAGGCACGAGGCACCATTTTGTTTTTCGGCCCTGAGGCGGAAAGGTGTTTCCCTGCCTGTGTTCAGCCTAGATTAGCTGGAGCTGAGCCCTGGGATCAGGTGACTAATCACCTATAAACCAACTAATTAAGCAATAGTGTAGGATAATGGCATGTTATGGCTTACCGGTGACATCCCTCGGCAGGCGAGCAGCTGAGGGCTGGGCCGTGCTGAGCAGCTTGAGGGGACGTGGCGCCATGGGGTGCCCCACGGTAATGGTGAAACACCCACTTCACTGAGGAGACATCAGATTTCTTCATCTGGCGGTGAGGAAATAATTGGGCACAAAGTTATTTTGGGGGAAATAGTCTCTGGATTAAACCATTAGCGATTGTCAAGAAAACTATTTAAACAAACCCGCGCTGTAACCAATTTCTATTTTAACCCGTGAGGAGCTAAAAAGAGGATTTGTGACCCAGATTCCTGTAGCGGCTCTTCTCCGAGCGGGGCCAGAGGTGGAGGAGGCCTGCTGCTTTCACAGATAACGCCGGGACCTCAGTAACCCTGACATTTAAAGGGGAGAAAATTGATTTCCTTTATCAGCCGGTTGAAATCGGAAATTACAGAAGGTGCAGAGGAGGCTCTGGGAGAGACAGCATTTAAAAAATACTGTGTTATTGCTCTTCGGAAGTGGCTTTATGTTGCAGAAGCACTTACACAAAAACATCGAATTCCACCTGCTGTTTCTTTGTGTTTAAATTGAGAAAGTAATACATGTCGAATCGAGGACGGAGCTTTATGGCTCTTTTAGTGTGTGGTTTCCACCACTGTTACCATTTTTCTTGACGGATGCTTGACAAAAACAAAGAACTGTTATTGCAAAGGTGGAGGTAAGACACAGAGTTACAGTGGGGCTGCTGTGCTCAAGGTGGCACCTAGAGAGGCCTTGGAGAAGGAGCGGCTCCACAGGGTACCAGAGCTTTGGGTGTTTACAGCACTCATCTGATTCCTGCATCACCTCCACAAGCATCCCTGAATGGCATCCTTGCTTCCTAGGTGCTGGAGGTGGGATAAAACCCCAGTTCTTATGTCCCATGAAGTGGTAGGCACTGTGCACTTCTGCCATAGGTAGGAATCATGGGGGTTTTGGTTTCAGCAGGGATGTAATGGTGGAAGTGTATTTTGCAAAAGCTAAAAAGAGATAGCAGAATTTATGCACAAGACTTGTGCGTTACGGAGAGAGAGATGAGCTTGTGGATGTGGCTTCAGCGGGGGAAAAGTGAAAGCAAATTCTGTTGGAACACAGATAATATAAACTCCTCTTAATTTTCAGCTGAGTTTATTAGAGACAGTTCAGAGTTGCAGAAAGCGGATCATGATACCGCAAACTGAGCAGATAACCTAGGAATTCATGTCACTGGTGCAAAACTGCTGAAAGGTTTTCTTCAACATTTGAAAAACCAAACAAAACAACCCCAACAGAACACACCACCCAAGTTATTAATTCAGTGATGTTTAAAAAAAAAAAAAAAAAAATGCTGCATTTTGCTACTGTTCAAAATGAAATCAAATGCTCTTGGCCACTGTGGAAGTGCCCAGGTGAAGAGACCGCATTGATTTCAGCCAAACAAATATAGCAAACCATTTAAGTGGGCTGTTACAGCTTATTTGAGCAGGCTTGGCTTGAAGAGAACAATATTTTTAAAGACAAAGAACAAACAGTCATGGAAATGCTTGAAATGCTTGGTAACTATTCCAATGTTGCTTGCTTTGTGGCCAAGCTGGCTCCAAAAAAAAAAAAAAAAAAAAAAAAGGTGTTTTCTTCCTGAGCTCTGTTTTGATAGGAGTGTCTTAAGCTTCCCTGTGAAGCAGCTAAACGCCAGGCTGGTGTCAATCTCCTGCATGCCATCAGGCATGTTTAGCTGGATAATACACCACCGAGATGGAAACATAATCAGGGTGCTTCGGTATCCTCCGCTTGCCGGCTTGCCTTTTGCTGGAGAATCCAGTAAAGCCTTAGGCCCTGCTGTTAATTGTCAGGGCTTTCAGGGCTCCTGGCATACACATGCATAATGCATATACGGCACGCAGACAAACACCGAGACTGGGTTCCGAGTAGGGGATTTCAGTAAGACTAATAGGTTTAAGGAAATAGCATTATTTTTTTTTCCTCTTTCAAGTAACTGGTGGGTTTCTTTCATTTTTTCTAATGTCTGACAGTTTTTACTTAGCACGAAGCACTTTATATTCTAGGTCTTGCCACCCAGATAACTGCTATTTTCTCTTTCCCCTTCTGCGTTTCCCACTGGCTCCCTCATGTGTAGGTACAATAAGGTTTTATGAACACCTGTTTTACATTGGGGTTTTTTGGTAGGTTTTTTTTCCTTTTAGCGAAAAACCTGCAACCCTTGCTGAAAAATATGCAGAGTACCACTTGGTAGACTTGACAGTGGCCTTATGGCAGCAGCTTCTGTATCTGGGTGTATGGTGACACTGCCCAAGCCCTGCTGTGCTGTAACGCTCTAGGAGATGCACACATGACCTCTCTGCAAAAACATCATATTTTTTCAAAATCCGATAAGTAGAGAACACGAAAACGTGACCAGGCCCAGGGTCAAAAGGGGGAGATTTGGGATTTGCCTTTGGTTTTAGCTCCAGGTCTAATTCCAGTGGATCACCCATGGTGCATGAATGTCTGGGAGCTGCCTTGGGGGGTGTACAAAGGGGCTGGAATTTGGCTGTTGGCTTTTGGGGAAGGGGCTGTCTTTGCCCTGCACAAGACGTGGCCTCTCGTGGCAGTGTGGGCAGTGGATCTTGTTTTACTTAGAAAAAGCAGACCAGTTTCTTGAGGTGGATTGAGTTTGCTACAAGCAGCTGCACTTGCAACCTCTTCCAGTCAGAGCTGGGGTAATGTTAGCCTTGAGGATCTGCCTTATCTGGATTTTATTGTGTCGTTGCTCTGGTAACAGCAAGTCTTATACCTTTATTAAAGGAAGCAGGGATATTTTATTTTACTCTCTAGACTCCAGTCAAAGGGAAATTTTGAGGTTTCTTTCTACCACGGCTTTCGCTGTTAACAGAAAATATGCACTTGCTCTGCAGAGAGCAAGTTAACCTTTCTTTGGTCTAAAAAGGATGACCTTTTTTTTAACCATAGGAATCAGTACTTTTTTTGGTCTTTGTAAAAGATCAGAACTTGCAAGGACACTTGCTGTCTATATTCTAAATGAAAATGTAGGCTTTTTATGCAATTTTAAAAAATGGGGAAAAAGTTTACAGGAAACTTTGAAGTCAAGAGGAATTAAATCTTCTTAAAAACTTTACATACATTCAGTGCTATGCTGCTTTATCAGCTTCATTTCAGAAATCAGCTCCAAGGTCATTTGGGACTGTTTTGGAAACAGGTCTTGCAGTTACATGACAGCTGTTGGGAAAGTTTGTCTTATGGCCACTGTGCCTTTTCTGTGCCTGATTGTTGAGCTACCTCAAGACAGTGTTCGAGGTGGTCTCTTGGTCAACTCAAGATCTTTATTGTAAAGACTTTTAAAATGATTTATTTTATTTATTTTTTTTTTAAAGAAGATAGGAAGCTGGTAATGACACAGAGAATCCATTCGTAGAGAAGAGCAACTGAGATCCTGCATTTGGTTTTGGGAGCTTCTCTGTATGTGTCCTAACACCCTACTTCTGCTAGGTTTTGCTGTATCCGTCTGAAGTAAGGTGTTTCTTTCCACTGCTTCAGTTAAAATCCAGCTTTTCCCCAGTATTTCTATTTGGAAACTCTGTAAAGCCTTCTCAGAGGACCTACTGTTTATCTGAATTCTGAACCAGTCTCCTTGGGACTGGTGTCTAAGGATGTGAGAGAGAACTTGCTGGGAAAATGTATTTTGGCATTAATGGATTAGGATTTAGTGAAGTCTTGGTTATTGCTTTACTTCTAGTTTCATTTGATCTGGAGCATCAAAACCAGAACGCTCAAATTAAGTATTCATTATTGTGTTTTGTTTTTCTTGCAGGGAAGTTACCCAGTGTGGGAAGATTTTATAAATAAAGCTGGGAAACTGCAGTCTCAGCTCCGGTAAGTTTTGTGTTACACTGTCAAGATCCCCTACAATTCCTTGTATGTGCAGACATAAAGGTGAAATGCAGCTTCTGCCAGGATAATTTGCTAAGCATGTCCTAATAAACTGCATGTTTTATAGTCAACACCCATGCATGTAACTTTTCACATACTACTGCTGCTGTTTTAATTTAGGAAAATACATAATCTACCACCAGCTGTAGATAATAAACACAAAATGAGCTAAATTTCATGGCTTCTAATGGAAAATTGGAAAGATAGTTTATTGCTGTTTAGAGAACACACATTTGGAGTTAGCCCTATGTTGTCCTTTTTATCAGTGTAGAATATAGCAGGTTTATGTTAGAAGAGGGCTTAAAATATTAAAGAATCTTTGGGAATCTTAACAGTGCTTTCTTCTGCCGTAAAAACAAAGGGAATTCCTGTGCTGGATTATTTATTGGTGATGATTAAAACTTAGGTTATTGGGGTATACTTTGCAAATGGCATTTGGGTTACTTAATAAGTGCCATATGTACTGTGCTCAGACCAATTCTGCTATCTCTGGAATTCATTCACTTGTAAAATTTGTTTCTGCTAATATGAATCCAAGCTCCATTTCTTCACAACTCTCCCTGAACCACAATCTCCACTGTGCTCTCAAGAGCATCAGTGTTGTTTTTTTTTCCCCAGCAGCAGTGGGAACAGGTATGCTTATTGGCAGTTTATTTTGCAGTTCTGTGCTGTGAACCATTCCTGAAGAAGCTAGGGTTTAGGCTCATTTGCCCTAAAATACTGGCATATGCTGCTCTGCCACGCTGTGCCTAAAATACCACACTTGTGTGTGGTTTTTCCTTTTCCAGCAATCGTGTCACATTGAGTGAGTGTGGAAGAAGCAGAGGAAGTAGTGAAAGGAGAGAAATGGAGACCTTTCCTAGCCCTTTGTACTTTTCATATACAGCCCTTCTGGGAAGGCATGAGGGATAGTTTTGTTTATTTCCCAGTCCTGTGGTGTTGCATTCAATCAATGTTGTGCTTTTCTAGCTACAGGAACGTGCAGGCAGGCAGCTTGAAAGCCTGTGTTCGAGGATTTGCTGTCCATTTCTAGCAAATGTGAGCTATTTGCCTCTGGTTCATTTCTGTGTGCTCTGATAGAGGACAGCAGATGTCATCTGAGCTGGAGCCAGGTCTTCCTGGCTCTTGTTACTGGAGAGATGGAACTTTGTTATTAGCAATATAATTAATAATTAACAACATGGTACACCAATAACAGCATGACCCGCAACTTTGGAAGATGAAGAGCACAAACACTGTTAAGGAAAATCCCAGAAAAGGTTATCTAGTTCTGGGGCTGAATATTGCTAGCTAATAGTTGTCAGGGGTTGGTTTTTTTCCCCTCCCTTTAATCTCTTTGGCATGTAGTGAGTCCTTATGCATTTGGTTGGTCCTCTCAAGCCTGGTTTGTTGGTTTTTTTTTCTTTGTTCAAACCTTTTGTGCTGTCAGTAGGCCATTTATCATGCTGCCAGTTATGCCCCCTGTATCTTGAGCACATTTGGAATGAGACTTGCATAAAATCTGACCTAGTTAAGCAGTCCTGTGGTCTTTCTGGCTGAGGATCAGCTTTCCTGCAGGTCTCCTGGGTTTTTGGAGGATAGCAAGGAGCTCTTGAAACAAAGTGAAGTTGATGGTCCTTCTTCAGGATTTTGCTTGGAGAGGCTGACTCTTACAGTTAGGAGAGGAAATCAGAGCTATTGGTAGAAAAGATGTGCAGAAACAGAACTACGAGGTAGCTGTGGGGAGGGCACAGTTGCACTTCACCTGTAGAGCCCTGGCCTACTTTCACTTAAACTGGGTCAGCCAGACTATAAACCCATCAAAAATCTGGTACTGACCTGAGGTGTTCAGGGCTCTAGGGCCTGCTTATGTAGAACAGACGTGTTCAGAAAATTGTAACTCACGTTTGCTGTCCACTTGAAGAGACGTGTGGTCTTTATGTGCTTGCAAAACCTGGAGGGAGATGGGGCTGGTGGGGTTGACACTTTGGATTGTGGAGTGTCCGAGGGTGCTGGTGTACCTCTTGGGAAGCAACCTGCTTGGAGGAGCACTGGATCAGAAACACTTTTCATTTGTTTGTTTATTTTTTGGGTGGAGGTTTTTGGGGAGCTGTTGTTTTTTTTTCTTCTTTTCCCTCTTTCTCATTTGCCCAAGAACTCCAGACCAGTCTGATTTCCAAGAAGTTGTTATTTTTCCCTTTCAAGAGGTGCTTGTGCTCCTCAGATGAGAAATTCAGGAAATTGTTTGGCCAGGATCCTAGATAAGAGGAAGGTCCTGCGTGCTTATTCTTAAAATATACATATTCCCTGGAGTAGCAGTGGCTGTAATTTGTACACTAATGGGTGCAGTATAATATATGTTAGATTTGTTTTTCATGTTTGACTGCTTAATGTTAGTTCATCAGAGGAAATCATCTAGAAGGGGGATGGCTGTGCTCTTTTGAAATAGCACCTGTCCCGGGCAATTCAGAGCACGGAATTAGCATGGCTGCCTCCAAGTCCATAGTGCTCACACAAAGCGAGGAAGGGATTAAGAAATGAAGGAGGGAAAAGGATAAATTCAGATATAAAGGAGGATATTTTTTGTGGCCTCTGCAAGTTCACAGTGGTATTCTTTATAAGCTTAAATGTTTTTGGCAATAATTAAATAGGCAGCAATGAGACACTGCTAATGTTTTGTTATCTGTATGCATTTCAGGACTACAGTAGTAGCAGCTGCTGCCTTTTTGGATGCCTTTCAGAAAGTGGCTGACATGGCTACTAATACACGTGGTAAGCAGATGTGTCAATATTGAGTTTAACAGAATGCTGTGTGGTTTATACCATTTGTCGTAATAAAAAAAAAAGTCTAACTTGTTACATTGACGAGCAGATCTGTGAGACATCTGTTAGATGGACTTGTACTTTGAAAAAGCGACACGTGAAAAAGGAAGTAATCTTTTCTTTACTGAAAAAAACGCTGGAAACCTGTAATTTAAATGCGTCATCAATCATGTGAACATTTCTTAATTACCATTTGAATTATGTTGATGAATAATATTTAGAAAGCAAGACTTACTGAAATCTGTATTCACTGACGCTTCTGTACCTTAAGCAAATGCAAAAGGCTTGATATTCAGCTGGTAAGTAAGTAAGAAAGCGTGGGATTGCTGAAGATAAAGCTGACGCGATGGCCTTTAATGTCTGTGTATAATGATGATAGTAGCCTGTACTTGTAACCTTGAGGAACATCTTTGCTTGTCCTTACCTCTTCTTTAAGTCTGACATTACTGGTCAAAATTAATTTTCCTGGGCTGTGGGCTTCGCTGGGTAACAGTCTAAGCTTGTTGGTGAGTATGGAGGCCAAAACAGTGCAGCTGGCAATCTTTCCAGGCGGCTGAGTTGGAAGGACACAAAAGGCTGCTTGCTGCTTCTCTGATGTTGGATGCCCAGTGGCCGAGGCATGGCATGCAGATGTCCCTGCAGCGGCAGGGCATTGCCCATGGTCACTGTGTCCTTGGGCTCCATTGCTGAAGAGCAGATCCAAAGCGTGTATAGCACTGCTGAGTGAGTGGCTTTTGGTCACCTCCAACCTTAGAGGTTTTGTAACGTTTTTATAGAGTCCTGATACGTCCTCGGCATTGGACTGGGAGAGTAAGAAAGTAATATTGCTAACATGAAGAGTGTGCATTTCCAGTAGCAGTGTGCAAGCTGAGCCAGACCTCTCTTCCCCTCCATTTCTGGCTAACGGGAATAGTAGCAGCTGCTGGAGCAAGAATCAAACCATAGAATGACAGAGGGAACAATTTTTTTTTTTTTCCTTTTCAAAGCTAATATGTACATTCTGATAAGAAGTTCCTCATTATATGCATACCTTCTGTAAGCTATGTATTTACTATTCATGTAAAATAATAAACACTCCAGAAAGTGGGATAAACTAAGTATGAGACCCAAGGCAGAACTTAACTTGGATTTCTAACATGTCTTTCCTTTGAGCATGCTCTCTTCTATTTATCCTCCCTCCCCCAAAGGGAAAACAAAGTAAACCCTAACAAAATCCTTGAGACTTGACTTCTGGCTGTGCTGGCAGGCTTATAGAACTTGCATTCAGATACCAGAATGACTGAACCTCTCCTACTTTCTGACAAAAAATGGCTTGTGTGGGTTTTTGAAGGGTATTTTGCACTTTCTGCTGTGTTATTTGGACTGTGTCCAACAAGCGTCGTGTCTTGTCTCTTATCTCTTCCAACACATCCTTTACAAAAGGAGCTCTGTAAATCCGGGCCTGCCAAATTTGTATAGCTCCTCTGTTCTGTCTTTCTGCCTTCCCTGACTGAAAGGATGGAAGGGAATTTTGTTTTTATTTTTAGAAAGTGATGTTCTGGGCAAAGAATCAAAATTCCAGGCTGGTTGGTGGTTCTGATCTGCCTCCCAACCCAACTTCCACTTGTGCCCATTTGAGTATTTATACATATATATATATATATATATATGTATATATATATATGTAGTCGATGATCTCGGAGCATCTCCGAGGTTTCTCATTTACAAATACAGATCCTTCCAGCTTGCTATGGACAGGGCCCATTGAAGATGATGGCAAAATTCCCCATGACTTACTAGGACACAATTTCATAAAGAAGTATTTTGCCATTAATCTAGACAACCGTATTCAGAAAACAAAACCAAACAAACTTCCTGGTTTTCTTCTCTGATGGTGGGATGTTAATGGTCTCCCAGTTTTCCCTTTCAGGAGTTATCTAACTTGGAAAAATTCTTTGGTAAATTTTGCCTGTTACTTATCCAGTTTATAAATTCCTGTATTTGATTGTCTAATAAACAGGTGGCTGTGCTTCACCTGGTCAGAGGGTTCTCAGTTAACAGGTTACCCAAAGTCAGCAAAGTTCACGTTCAGCTTCTGGGTGTAAAGACTTGTGTGGCTCTTTCCATGGCAAAGCAGGGAGGGTCAGTGTATTTTAAATCAAGAGGCTGGTTTATCATTGCATGTGCCAAATGCTGCTTCTGGGAACTGTGTATGAAAATATTGAAGCAGATGCTTGTTTTGGGGGGACAGTGTTAGTGCCCTGTAGGACGACTGATGTGTTGTGAAGCTTGGTGCTGCATTTTATTTGTAATTCCTTATAGTTTTACAGAAAGTGGCCTTTTATTTTTAAGACCCACCAATGTAGCTGATGAAAGTGTTTTATCAGTCAGCAGAAGCACTCTCTGGCTACTCTTTAGTCTGTTTGCATCAGCATTTGCTTTGAAAGAAGTGTTTACATGGATGTACACGTCCACACACACGCAACAGGAGGTGATTACCTTTGCAGACAACAACTGTTAAAGTATGAGAGCCTATTTTCATCAGTTCCAGTCCTTGTTCCAGCTGATATCTTTCTCTACCTCGTGTGCCATTATTGCTGTTCCCAAACATTGGTTTTTCCCTTTTGGTGCATCTTTCTTTCTATGTCATTTACTTCCTTCTAATTCTGCAACGGTAGCAGTGTTTATCTTCACATTCCCATTTGGAGCTCAAATAGAGGGCATAATTGAGGCTCTGCCTATACTAGAGCTTATGATTGGATGAGTTGAATAACCTGTACCTTACTTTATTTTCCTCACGTAGCTTTTGAGGTGGGAAAAGCCCTGAATGTGAAGTACCTGGTGTTTTGTGGTGACTCAATACACAAATGAATTTCCCCACCAGCTCATTTCAGCTTTTTCTTCCTTGTTTACTGTCTCTCTGTTTAGATGCACGTCAACCCAAAGTTTAGTCTCTCTTTTCACTTAAGTTCAATTCATTTCCCTCAGTTTGATGTTTTTTGGTTTCAGCCTGACAAGGAAAAACAGGAGGAAAGTAGATCTGATGTACCTATTACCAAAAGGTTTTATTGCTGTGGGTCTGACCGTCTGAAAAACATCATTTGCATGAGGGACTCTGTCAAGCTACATTGCTAATTCTCTAATAATGCTGGCTGCGTAGCAGCATGTGCTGTTTTTCGCCGGTACCAGAGATTTTAAAAACAAAATTCCTTCAAATGTTTGGCTCATGAGCTCTGACAAGATATATGCATCTCTCTAGCAGTTTGTATTATTCAGGCTACATCTGTTTGGCATACAGCCTGGCAGAAACTGGTAGTCTGCAGTGGAATCTGGTATTATTTCTCACTATGATTATTAAAGAGAATACTCACTAAATATTAAATAGATACTTCAGGATACCTTTTAACCTCAGTGAAGTTTCCTTTTTGATGAGATGTGTGCTTTTGAGTTTTAGTTTGGGTTTTTCTCATATTGCTTAAGTCTTTCAATACCTAAAATTTTTAATGTTCTTATCCGCATCAATTCAAACTGAAGCATGAAAGAGATTTAAGTCTAATTTCATTTAACAGCTGCTCACCTGATATTTTGTGCATTAAAATTTTATTCTCTTATAAAAGCAAGACCTATGCATCCCAAATATAAACATACAGTGCATATAAACATATTATAAGCTGGGTTTGAATAGAATGTAAAAGCATGTGTGTAAATTGCTTTGCTTTTTGTATGCCAGTATTCTTCTACTTCTGCTGCATTTGAATGTCCTTTGTAGATAAGTGCTAGAATTCAGGAACTTGAAAGAGTTGGTGAGAAGAGTAACTATCCTCCTCATGTTATGAGGGAGTTTAATGTGAAGACATGCATTCTATCTCTACTTAATATATCATCAACGACTTCCGTGGAGAAAAAAGCTGCCCGAGTCTTGCCTACCTGCATCTTCACAGGTGTAAATTAAAATTTGTGGAAAGATGATCTAAAAGCTTTGATTTACCCTGAAGCTTAAAATTGATCTTCAAAGTGAGATTGTTAATGAGGCAGCTGATACCCACTCTTGTGGGTTTTTTGTTTTTCATTCATATTTGAAGGGGTTTACGTATACATAGGTGTGTTTGATATTAGCATATTAGTTCAATCATGTCAAGATACATTTCAGTGTATCGCACAGCTTTCTCTTGCCAGTTGGATTCCATGAATTGTCATGTTGTTTGAAGTTGCCTCGTTCCAACTTGGCAAGTGCTACTAAAGGTATGTTTGCCCTGCCTTTGGTAATTTTGACATCTGTCATGCTGGTTGGCGCTATTTACATTTTCCATCTCTTTCATTTTGCAGATGTCTGAGAGGACTTTAAGGCAATGCAGACCTTCTGACTAAAGTTGCATGAAATTCCAGTTGAGGGTGACTGGTGGGCAGAGAGGGTCTGAGGCCAGAGAGGGAATAGCTGTGGGTGCTCAACCAGCTACAGAGGGACACTAAGCAGACCTGGAAGCAAAACTCATCCTGAGCCTCCATTGGCACGCAGCAGTGACAGGGTACCAAAACCAGTATAGCCATTTTAACGTTACCCGTTTGAAGAACAGCATATAACAGCCTGGAAGAAGTGCCCCATTAAAGTGTCTCTACTTTTTTCAGGCCCCGTTAAACTTTATCAGCACACAGAAATGTAAATGTGGTTTAATGCTTCTACTTACAGAATTAAATTTGATTAGTATCTGTGAGTGTCTGCCTTGGGTAGCTCTTGTACTGCAGTAGTCAGTGACTGCTCTTCATGTTTAATAAAGCTGCTTAAAAAGGTACCTTTGCTGCAGATCTGTGTTCCTAGGAAGACTCTGCATCTGTGTTGCTCCAGGTATTGTGTGAGTACACCTTCGGGTAGTCCTTACTCTGGGTGTTTGGTTGTCTTAGCGAGGATATAAATGGTATGTATTGCAGTGGTTTTCCAAGGTGATGAGCTGCACAAAGTGTTGCAGTGCTGG